GAAATATGGAGCTGACCTCTGAGAGTTCGCGAAGCTGGGGCTGGATTATGTTAGTAGGAACGTTCTGCAGATTGACTGTATAGAACCGCTTGATTACGTTGTGGTTGCAGTGTTGTTAATTGCTCTGTAGAAATTAACGGTGTGAGTTGCGCTGTGATCCTTCAATTTATGCGAGTAGGGCTGGTTTTTCGTTGCGGTTAAATAATTATTGGTGCAAAAGTTCGTTTTTGCCTGCACTGGTGTGGTTTTTTTGGGTGTCTGGTTTTAACTGTGTGTTAGATGTGGGAGGATGTTACTCGCAATTAAATCAGCTAAATGTCATACATCTTTTTGAATGTTTCGTTAATGAATATGCCACAAATCGACTTAACTGTGGAATTAATTGATAGGATGCGTAGTAACTGAGAGCATATACACTGAGTAATACCGAAAGCGTATTTCCGGAACTACGATGAATAATTCGTGATGAATGCATTGGCTAATTATGTAGTTGTTAGTAATGAGTTGTTCCTGATCGAGTGCAACCGTTTTTATGGGATATTCTGTTCCGGACACTAGGCTGAATAATGTATGCGAGTGCGTTAGTTAAATACATAATTGTTAGTAATTAGTAGTTTCTGATCGGGTATAACCTTATTCGTGAGATGTTCTATCCAGTTGAGATGTTCATATGTCGTACGAGACGAATTATTAGCGCAATTGACAGCTCTTGTAAGAAATTTAATCATACTAGCCTTTCGCTAAGATGAATATAAGTTAGGGGATATTTTGGAGCGCTGTTTGCTCAAGGGGCCTAGTCTGTATGTTTGTCATGCGCGGGATTTATTTTTTAAGATTTAAGATTCGTGGCCACAGAGTAGGAGATGTTGTGTTCGAAACTGGAATGATTAATTGAATTAGCCGTGAATCTTTGAAGAATCATTCCCCACGGATCGCTCACAAATATTAACTAATGGAGTTTTAAATTTCTTTCCCGAAAAAGCATTTTAGCCATGGTTGTGGTATATTTCAGATTTGTCTTTTTGCACACACGAAATCTGGATTTCCTTCAAAGTTGTGGATATAAATGAACCGTTGTGAAATCATTCAAGTTCCGCTAATTTAAATTTGATTTGAGGGTATAACTTTCATAAGAGCAATTTAATGCAACGCTTGTTGAATCTTCATCGTTATCAAGTGAACGGTAAGGGTGAGATTCATCCGATGGATGGTGCTGATATAGATGTTTGTCTTTTCCTCGAATATAAATTAGCTAGGTGTGAAATCGGTGAGAAATTACGCGCACAAGTTGACTATGAGAAATCTGATTTTATGCGCAAAGTGAACGAAATTAAGTGTGTAAGTGGGAAGGAGAGTGACATGGAATTGAACGGAAGCTTGTGAAAATTACATGGAGAATTCATTTGAGTGGAAGGCAACTCGGTTTTAAGTGCTTGTTTGTATACGATTTCGTTTTTCAGTTAATGCGAATCGTCTGTAATCATAGCACATTAATTATGGCCAATGTGATCATAGGGTACTAATTTTAGTTCTGTTACGATATTCTGTTCAGCTGGAATCCATGCAGAGAATAATTTTCAGTTTAAGAAAAGTGCCCACCTTAGTCTGCAGGAATTTCCGTTTTTGTGGATAAATTATGCAACTGTGCATGAATGAGTATACTCTGATCCATATGATCGCTTCATCTAATTCAGCAAGAAGTTATAATCACTTGTTCATTGTGAGAAGTCTAAATGTATATGTGGACTGAACGAAGTTGACTTTGTAATTGGCAATGCAAATGAAGTAGGAAGTAGCCTTGCGAAACTCAGACGAAGAATTCCTTTCAACAGAAGTGACTTAATGGAAAATGATCGTTTTCGCATGAATTTCACCATCCACTTATCGCAACAGGATTTGGATATGACCACTTTTGATACATCTGTGTTCTCATTGCTTCACATTTATCTCGACTTTACTTGATGTATAGTTCTGAAAATTCATGGCTAAATGAATTACAAATAGAGTGAAAATTGCTGTCGATTGCGACGCTGGTGGTTTGTTTCGTCGTCATATGAGCGTGCGTGCTCCGCCTTATGGCGAATCGCTCACACACTCTTGATCGAGAATATTCGTAATGAAACCGAAGCTGCCTTAAGCATATTAAGAATTCGTGATGTCGGGATTCCGGCGTAGTTTTTCGGAAATTTCGATTTTCATAACATTATAAGTTAAAAGAATAATCAACAAAACTTCTGCAGTGAAAGAAGTCTTTGTGATATCCAACTATCAGGCAAAAATCATAATCAGCTACATTGATGAAATGCGTTGTATCCAATCGTTATTTGATATTCGCAATTTTTCACGTTTTTTCATTTTACACATTTTTAATAGGAGTATTACTACCGGAATGTACTTTGCTTTTGACTGTATCAGTTTTAAGAATTTGAAATTTGGTAGAATTCTGATG